CCCCGGCAGAGGAGGGTGTGGGGGGATGGCTGCACTGGGCAAAGCAGGCACTGCCATGCCAGGGAGAGGGGGAGGTGGGGGAATCACCATGCCCAGGCCAGGCATGGAGCTGGAGGACTCTGTGCCAGGCAGAGGTGGTGGGGAGGGGATGGTACAGCTGTTTTCGAAGGCGGAGAAAACAGAGTGTTCATGGTGGGTTTCAAACTCAGGATGAAGAGAAGAATGGGAAGGCTGTGACCCAGGCTGTCCTTGACCCTCAGGCCATGGAAGGGATGGAGGTGCTGGAAGCTGAGAGATACTCTGTACAGATGGATGGGCGTCGAGCTGGACTGATATTCGCCTTGGAGACACAATCAAAGAAATCTCTGAACAGAATTTTGTCTGAGGTCCAGAGGGTGAGGACGGGCCAGCTGCCTCTCCACTCTTAGCCCCAGGTGAGCATGGGGGGACCTCTGGCAGAGCATCCACAGAAGGCAGCATCAGTGGCCCACTCTCTTCTGTTGGGGAAGTCTGGATTGATTTGGCCTCTACAATCCTTTGATGGCTCGCATCCTTTTCTCTCAACCTGAGAGCTTCAAGACACAAATCTTCAGAAGCTGCCACTCCATTCTCAAGCCCATGCCGGCCATTGGTCCCCTCTGTGTCCAGCGCTGGGTACTGCTTCTCTAGTTCAGCTATTTTGGTCCTCAGATCCTCGATGGTCTGTTCCAGCTGCTGAATTACAGTTGCCTGTCCCTCAGGCTTCATGTCAAGAACTGCCTGAAGGGCGACAAGGACACAGTTAAGTATGCATAAAGAAAAATCCAAATATCAAAAATTAAGTCAAATCAGATGGGTGTGGTAGCTCACGCTCGTAACCCCAGCACTTTGGGAGGCCAAGGCAGGATTGCCTGAAGCCAGGAGTTCAAGGCCAGCCTGGGCAACATGGCAAGACCCTGTTTCTACAAAAACAATAAAACATTAGCCAAGCATGATGGATGTAGTCTCAGCCGCTTGGGAGGTTGAGGCTGGAGGATCACTTAAGCCCAGGAGTTCAAGGCTGCAGTGAGCTATAATCACATCTCTACACCCCAACCTGGGAGACAGAGCAAGGTCAGATCTCAAAAAACACAAATAAAAATTTTAAAAAAAAAAACAAGCAAAATCATATATGCTTATTGTAATACTTCCAGAAAAATCCTGCCACAGAAATATACTATTAATATTACCATAGGATCCTAAGGTTCTTGTTTGAATCATCTTCAAATATCACTGAGGACAAAAGACCACTAAAAATAGGAAAGAAATTCTGAGCGACAAACATGTTTATTTCAGGGCTACCCCTTTGGGTCCCCTCCCGCTGTGGGAGTTTTTCTGTCATCTCAATAAATCCTGCTTTCTAAAAAAAAAAAGTTTATTTCTAAAATAGACTTCTCTGTTTCCTGCCAAGTAACATTTGCTACCAGGATGTTCACTAGAGACGTTTTAAAGGCAACCCAGAGGTTTTTGTTTGTTTGTTTTGTTTTTTCAGTTGGAGTCTCACTCTGTCGCCCAGGATGGCGTGCAGTGGCATGCTCACGGTCACTCCAGTGTCAACCTGCTGGGCTCTGACAATCCTTCCGCCTTGGCCTTCCAAGTAACTGGAGCTACAGACGTGTGCTACCATGTCCGGCTAGTTATTTATTGATTGTAGAGATGAGGTCTCACCAAGTTGCCCGGGCTGGTCTGGAACCCGTGAGCTAAGGCAGTCTACTCGCCTCGGTCTCCCAAAGTGCTGGGATTACAGGGGCAACCCAGAGTTTTAAAGGCCATAATCACCTTTTAAAAGCAATCGCTAAATGTGGCCAGATATGGTGACTCATACCTGTAATACCAGCACTTGGGGAGGCTGAAGCAGGAAGACTACTTGAGCCCAGGAGTTTGAGACCAGCCTAGGCAATATAGCGAGATCTTGTCTCTACAAAAAATCTAAAAATAGCCAGGCATGGTGGCATGCACCTTTAGTCCAAGCTACTTGGGAGGCTGAAATAGAGGATCATCTGAGCCCAGGAGATAGAGGCTGTGGTGAGCCACAACTGTGCCACTGCATGCCAACCTGGGTGACACAGTGAGACCCCAGACTCAAAAAAAAAGTAATCACTAATGAGTCTCCAATAAGAATAAGAACATGTGAAATATTTTTGACATCCACATGAACAGGAATATATACCTTATGTGTCTTGCCATAGCATTTATGTTCACTAGAATTTTAACTTTTTACTCAAGGCATTTCAAAAAGTGATAACTGATGGCTCGTCACAATTTATGAAGAAGTTGATAATTGTGCCAACATATGGGGCACCCTCACTACTTAAGTGGCAACTTCCTTTCCCAAGGTACCCAGTCAACCAGAAATCCTTCAAGAAAAAAATGTTTTGGATAGAAAGAAAGGAAAACTCTATGGGTATATCAAAATATGAGTAAAAGATGGGAAGAGAAGAAGAAGAAACAGATAAAGAGGAAAGAGGATAAATAGGAATAGTTCAAGGCAGAGGAAAAGGAGGACAAGCCTTGGCTGTATGAAAATGACAATGTCAGATGAATCCTCATAGACGTGGATTTGTCCACTCAAGGCTGGAGCGAAATGGAAAGATGGTGAGAGGGTTATCGTGCTGAGAACTGTTTCTTCAGGGTGTGCAGGGGCTTTCCAAAGATGACCCTACTAGGAGTAGTGGTAAGAATTCATAGGTCCATGTGCACACAAATCTTCCTCACATGGGAGGCTGAGGCTTATACTTCAGGCCTGAGTTCTGCATGTTGTAGAAGAATAATTAAGGGTAATATAAAGATTATATTAAGTATCAACCTAAACTCTCAGCCTGCTTGCTAAGGTTAAACTCTGGATCCAAGCAAAGTCTCCACAAAGTAAGAAATAAACATTTCCTTTACTCTTTACTAAATTCAAAACAGACATCCAACGCATTTTTCAGTGAAAAAGGCAGGTGGAGATATACTATAAATTAAGTACTTTGGGTGCTATGATATATTTGATAAAAATCCTCAGAGTTAGTCCCTTCCAACCCAATGGAGGAGAAGGAGATTTAAATTTAATAGTCTTAATCCTAATCTCTGTTATTTATTTCCTGGAAACTTTCTTTTACTACAATATTTAATTTGCTGCAGATAAATTATTATGTTTTTGTTTTGTTTTTGAGTCAGGGTCTCACACTGTCACTCAGACTGGAGGGCAGTGCCACAATCATGGTTCACCACAGCCTCAGACTCCTAGGCTCAGGCAATCCTTCCACCTCAACCTCCTGAGTAGTTGGGACTACAGGCACACACCACCACACCCAGTTTTTGTTGTGGAGGTGGTTTTGTTTTGTTTTGTTTTTGTAGAGATGCAGTCTCTCTATGTTCCCCAGGCTGGTCTTGAACTTCTGGGCTCAAGCAGTCCTTCCACCTCGGCCATCCAAAGTGCTGTGATTACAGGTGTGAGGCACAACACTTGCCCAATTATGTTTACTGAGAGCTGAAGAAAATTTGTAACTTTGAGAAACAGCCCCTACACATGTTTTCTTAAATGTTCGTATTATCAAACATAATATCAAGTAGACTTTGCTGTGAAAGTGAAATAGAAAATAACTTCTCAACTAATGAAGGAACATAAAACACTTTAAATAGGCAAAAAGTTGAGAGGTGACTTATAGGTAAGTATAGGTATTCATATACACAAGTATGTGTCTACACACACACTCCTTAAGTCACTATTTTTTACCAAAAAATTTTTTCCACAAAAGACTAAAGTATTGTAATGCACATGCCCCATACAGTTTCTAAGTAACCCATGGTAAAATATATATAAACAATTTTTAATATTCTTTGTGGCCACTATACTTAATTCCACTCTCCAATTATGATACTAGTAAGTACAAAGGAAACCAGAAGCCAAAAAACTAGCACCCATATTTATCCTAATAAGAACTAGTCAACATTTATTTGTTATACCAGATTAATCAAATATACAGATCATTTTTCCAGCATACTCTTAAAAGTGACTTTTAATCATTAATAAGTATTTCTTGAGTTATCTTGATATATAACTATGGTTCTCATTTTCCCAAGAATGCTGATCACATACAAAGGGTAGTTGACAAATGCCACATAAGAAGTAGATTCTGGAAGCATTTCCCAAAACCCAGTTCATAAATGTTATTACCTAGGCCCACTCTTTTTCATCCTAGATTTGAATATAATGAAGACAACATAAAAATTAAAGGGCACTCAGCAAACACACACAAACACACACACACACACACAAACACACACACAAAGAAAGCGATCCTAAGTCAAAATGGCCTACCTCAGTAGCAATTATTATTATTTTTTATCAATAAATTTGTATTCATAGAATTACACGTCATGATTCCTTCCATTTTCCATGAAGGTCAATTCAAGAAAAACAAAAGTCAAAATTTATGTTCAAAAGATTTATTTCCAAGATAGTCCTCCTTAATAGAATTGATGCTTAATCCACAGTTGTCCTGTAAGCCACAATGATTTTGGCTTCCTTTAACCCCATATTTGAATAGGATATACTGATGAAAACTTCAAAACTCCAGGAATCATTGGGATCTATTTTTTCCAACCAATTTACTTTAGGGGCATTTGTGGAGTAGATGGATCTGCCTGGTTCTCAATTTGACACCCTCTCTAAACATGAGTGCGTACAAGTCAGAGTCATTCCTAAGTTATCAGCCTTGAGAATAGTATAGATCTGTGGAATATGCCAGTACCTTCAACTGGCAACATCATGTTCTCAAGATAAAAAACTTTTTTAAAAAAGCCATCTTGATATATCACATCAACATGATATCAGTATACTAAATCAATATAGTTGAGACTACCTTCATGTCCTATGCTTTTTAATTATCAATTCTACAGTCCTGGAACCAACCCTTAAGGTTATCAATATCTCCATCACTTTACTTTAAACTGTGTCAGGCATCATAGTATTCCTTCTTATATGTATCAAGACTTATCCTGAATAATAATAATAAATATGGCAATGCTAGCACTAGTACTAGGCTTATGGTGACAGAGTCAAAGAATTCATAAAGATGATAATCAACAGATTGCAAAGACAAAAGACTGAAATTTTCACAGAAAGAAATATTTGTATGGATCATTTTTATAGACAGAAAACATGGAAGAAAACTTGGGTTGAGAGACCATTTGCTTCTTACATTATTCCCACTGTAGAGAGAACAAGACACTAATTTGTTAGAATCTTCATTCCCTCTATGATCTATCTTTACCTGCACCATAAAATCCTGACCCTGAATCAACATTACAGTCCTCCTTTTCCATTCCAGGGAAACAGAGCAAACAAGCTCATCTCAAGCCTTAAATGACTATCCTGTAAAATAAGGTCAGTCAGCCACTATTAAAGATCAGCCAAATGTATGTAGGATTTTTGGTTCTGAATTTAGTTAACAGTCTTCAAAGAATCTTATCTGGCTTTTCTTATCCACAGCTATCAGTCAAGGGCTGGCTGGTTCTCAGAGAAGCCCAGATTTACAAAGCCAGCTGACATATTTTCTGCAGAGCTCTCTAGAGAAAGCTGCATTGCTTGTTAGCAGTAAGAGTTGATTTCTAATATGATCTTTTTTCAGGGATTTATTAAAAGATTGACATGGTAAATATTAGTCATTATCAAGAAAAAGGGCTGGTTATTCTCTGGCCATTTAAGCAAACATCCTACTCTCAGGACTCACACAAAGTGGAGTGGAGATCTGTAG